CTCGCTTCTCTTTCTTCTTGAGTGATATCTTCCAAATCTATGTATAAATCCAAACATGACATTGGATCTACACGGTTCATGAACTCTACATGCGAATCATTCTTGATCTTCACTACACGCCTACCACGGGACTATCGAAAATCAAAGAAAGGTGGAGTTTCACGTGTGCTGGATCCCAACCAAGGGTCATACAAATCTTACTAATCAATCCCTCATATGACAACCTTTCTTCGACAAACAAACCATCATCCGGCATATTCGAAAAAGTGTTGATGCTACCGTTCTCTATCACATACTTACTTGTATGATACAAATTAAGCATGTATGATACATTACGTGCCATTGATAACTGTTAAAAAAACATCAATAACTAATCATTTCTTAATAACAAAATCAACAAAATACACCATACATTCTCTAAAATACACCATACACCATACACCATACATACTCCAACAAATACACCATACTAAAATACTTATAAATCAACTTCGATATCTCATGAACAACTATGATTTCTCATCTCTAACCTCAAAATCAACACCTAAAACATCCAAACAACCAACCAACATAAACCCTAATCTATCATACATCATTCTAACAATCAAAATAACACAAAAATAAACTAAATAACATGGTTTTGCAATCTAACCTCTTTCAAATAACGATTTCCACGTATCTAGAGGCAAGAATGCATCAAAAACTTCAATTCGCCCTTGTTTGAGCTGCAAAAACAGAAAATCCAACTCAGTTCTCGAATGAGAACTGCCTGAAATTTTTTTTCTTTTATAGCACGTTAAACTCGGATTTACGAAATCCGAGTCCGTAAGTAACTCGGATTTTCGAAATCCGAACTGTGTTAGATTCGGATTTCATAAATCCGAGTTTAGTCAATTCAGGATTATTTTATTAATTTGTTGGTCCTCCAATTTAAGGCACATGCTTACTTCCACCAACCAAAATTAAAGGCATCCGGATTTCTAAAATCCGAATTCGTTAAACCGGATTACGGACTTCCGGTTTTTTGGGTTCAAAAATTTCGCGCCGCGATTTATTAATTTTTAACTAAACTCGGATTCTACAAATCCGAGCTTTACTGTTCACTAAAGAACTAAAAAAATTACTATTCAACAAAATTTATGAAATTATTATTTTATTATTAAGTATGGATTCGGATTTACAAAATCCGAATCTCTAATATTAATCAACACTCGGATTTCAGAAATCCGAGCAATATAGTTCTGTCCACAGATATTCTGAAAAATTTAATTTTGTCCACGTTTATTTTATTTAATTTTTTTTGGGAAAAAGCCCCATAGATCCACACTAGTTTGATCGTTTTGAAGGTAATTTATCAACTGGAACGGTCAACCACGACGCATCAACCATTCTTTAACTTGTAATTTATTTTTTTTTTATTTTTTGATAAATCTTTAACTTGTAATTTAATTTTCAGGAGATTGTTTCACTTGTTGCAGTTTTGCACTATATCAAGTAAAAATCTCTTTCCTTCAAAAAAAAAAGTAAAAATCTGTTTGCAAATTCAGATTATGTTTGTGTCCTTTTAATTCAATTTATTGTTATTTTTTTTGGGACAGCTGTATTGTTACTTTATTTTATCTTTTTGGTGCATCAATCCGTTTACGTCCTTTTACTTATTCCAAAAACTAATTTTTTCAATATTGTGTTATTATTAGTAAAAGAAGATTTGGGGCCAGAACATAGGGATTTAGTTGAAGACATCCGTCTCTATAGATCGACCTAATATTTTCTTAGCTTCGAAACTCCATAGATTTCTGATTAGGATTATCGGAAAGGTTTCAGGGACAATGGCGTCGACATTAAAGTCCCAGATGTCCTCAAAAAAAACGGGAGGCTGAAAAAATAAACAGAGAAGATGAGCGGCGACTGATAATTACGCCATCAGGCGCCGGCAGCGAAGTGGGTCGATCCTGCATTTATTTATCTTACAAAGGCAAAACCGTCTTGTTCGATTGCGGGATTCACCCTAAATACTCCGGAATGACCGCTTTACCTTACTTTGACCAAATTGATCCTTCAACCATTGATGTCCTTCTCGTTACTCACTTCCATTTAGATCACATCATAAATCACTTCCATTTAGATCACATCAATAATTAATGTACGTGGGTGTGAAAACACTAGTTATGGATTTACAGGGGCTCCACTTTTTTTCTCGTAGAAGTATATACCCTTCCCGCAATCGGAGAATGTGGAAATATGACAAAATCGCAAGCACTGATTGCGGTATTAAACAAGAACCGCAAAGAGTGAGTGCGGAAATAAAAATCGTAATTGTGTATTGTGAAAATCTTTCAAACTGAGAATTAAGAAAAATAATTAATTACGCTTAATTTTATTAATCACAATTAATTTAATAAAACCGCAATGGTGAAATGCGGAAATCAAAATCACTGCAATAAAGTTTTCTTGAAATCATGATAATCGCAATGTTTGGTGGCAGAATTTATTATTTATAATTTCTTTAATTTAAAGTGATTAAGTTTGCAGGAAAATAGCAATTAATGAAATTCAGTTGATTTTTTTGTTATGTTGAATTTATTCGAGGGTAGGAAAATTTTATATGTTATGCACGTTTGACTGCATAAATTAATCATTTTGTAATTACAATTGTTGTAATAATTAGAAATAAAATTATAATGGAGGGAAAATATTAAACTTAAAACAACATGGAGTTATATTAATAAAAAAAATTAAACTGTTTCGGCTGCATGAAAAAAATTAATAAAAAGACTGAACTGTAAAAGCACATTGTTGGCACACTAAATATCTTAATTTCAAGAAAAAAGAATCAATTTATGAATTAAAACTACTGCTTTGAAGGAAAAAAAGATGTCATCTAAACCCATAAATAAGATAAAATATATAAATTTTCTAAAAATATATTATAGTTTATTATTTGTTGACATAAAATTTGGTCATCGAAATTTTTTGAAAGTTATGTAAATATTTATTATATCTTCCACATTAAAACAGAATTATTAGAAAAAAACAATCATTATTAACCCAAAGAAAATAGAATTATTATAAAAAAAACTGAAATTAACAATGAGCAAAAAAACTAAAAAAACAAAAGTTGACTTCGGGTGAAAACTGCGAAACTTAAATGCGGATTTTATGGACTATATTGAGCTACATGGCTCAATCTGGGATAAAATGTTCAAAATTTGTACCACGCGAGCAGCTTGTCTCATTTCTTTATTTGGCCAATGATATTCTACAAAATAGTGTATAAATTTATCAAATTTGTGATTATAAATGTTAAAAAGAAAAGAGATATAAAAAATTAAAAATTAAATAAAAAAGGAGAATAAATATTTAAAAAAATTACGTGTGGAGTCTAGTTGCATGTTACGTTGAAGTTTTGTCCTTAAACTAAGCAGTATATACTCGGTCAAAACCACATAGCCCGAATGAGGTTTCTATCATGGACCAGATTGAGCCAAGTTGCTCAATCTGATGGCAACATTTGAATTCGATTAAAACTCAAAACTGCAATCTGAACTCCTGTTTAAAGTAATATTATCATGAATTTGGGGTCAAAAAGAATTTATTCAAAATTAAGAGTTCAGTTTCTAATTTATTTATCTTTTATAACCCATTAATTATTTTCTCCTTCTTCGTCTAAATACACCCCTCCCCGACTGAAACCCACACCCCAGGAATGCCTCCCAACCCTCTCGGAACCCATACCATCCGGCGACATCAAGGTCGCCGGATTTGTCCGCCAAATCCAACCGTCACCCCCCTCCCTGACTGAAACCCACACCAGATCAATCGACCATCACCCTAACCCACCCCCCTCGTCGTCGGACGCCGAACCTTCCCCCTGTCGCCTGGAAACAAAAAAAGAAAAAGAAAAACGTGAAACGAAGGTCGCCGGTTTCAATCCGCGTGACCATGACCCTAACCCACATTAACCCATTGCCGGATTATGCCTATTAATATAAATCGTGTACCTTTAGCCGGCTCCCGCATCGAAGACGTTGGCCCCCCTGTCGCCAAAAAAAATCGAGGAAAGTGGCTTGACAATTTCCGGAGTTATTAAATTATAAAATAGACACTCTAATATTTATAAAAATGGCACCCTTTAATTTCTTTTCTTATTTGAACCATGTGCCAATGAAAAATTTTTCATTTATGTCCTTAATAAAACAAATTTCTACTTCAATTTTAACCCAAATAATATGGTATTTTACACAATATTGAATTTGTACTCCTTCGGTCATGAAAAAACGTTTCACTTTAGTGTCAGTGAACATCAAATGGAAATTATTTCAAAAAAAAAAAATAGTGGGAGTAATAACATTAATAACAATAATTCAACACTATACTACTCAGTCTGACTTAAACGGCATCAATGATTGACCAAATTTGTTCTTTTTACATATGTAACTACTTAGTATTACTTAAACAGAATCTTTTATTGATGAAATTTGTTTTTTTAACATATGTACTGCTTAGTTTGTCTTAAATACAATCTGTTATTGATCAAATTTGCTACTTTTATATATATACTACTTAGTTTGACTTAAACAAAATATGTTACTGATCAAATTTGGTATATTTACTTATGTACTACTTAATTTGACTTAAATAGAGTATGATCAAACTTGTTCTTTTTACATATTTACTACTTCTACATATATATTACTTAGTCTAACATAAACATAATCTGTTATTGATCGAATTTGTTCTTTAGATATGTGCTACTTAGTTTGACTTAAACAAAATTTGTTACTAAAACTGCATACTACCTGTGCGGTAATACGAATTAAATTTTTTAGGAGTTCCGTGTACCTGGATTGCGAGAAGGGTATTTGCTTCTACGAAAAAAATCAGAGCACCATTTCAGTCCAGAATTGGTGTTTCCAAGGTTACTAATCTCATTCACCCTAGATCACATTTCTTCGCTTCCATACATTTTAGAGAAGACGGCGTTTAAAGGCCGGGTTTTCATGACGCACGCCACGAAAGCGATTTACAGGTTGCTCCTGACGGATTATATCGGGGTAAGCAGAGTTTCAGTTGAAGAATTGTTCACTGAGCAAGATATCGAAAACTCGATGAACAAATCGAGGTCATCGAGTTCCGCCAGGCGATGGAAGTCTATGGAATCTGCTTCTGGTGCTACGCAGCCGGCCATGTCCTCGGCGCAGCGATGTTTATGGTGGACATTGCTGGTGTTCGGGTTCTTTATACCGGGAGATTATTCGACCGAGGAAGAGGATAGACATATTCCAGCTGCTGAAGTTCCTCAGTTTTCACCAGATGTCTGTATCATTGAATCTCTGGAGTTCAAGCTCATGAGCCGCGACACGTGCGAGAGGAGCGATTCACTGAACTCATCCGCGACACGGTTTCTAAAGGCGGTCGGGTTTTGATCCCGGCGTTCGCGCTTGGTCGGGCGCAGGAACTCCTCCTGATATTGGAGGAGTATTGGTCGAAACATCCCGAGCTCCACAGTGTCAATATATACTACGCTTCTTCGCTCGCCCAAAGGTGTATGAAAGTGTATCAGACATTCGTCAATTCGATGAAGGATAATGGCGCTTCGGATCACTGTTTTGATTTCAAGAACATATCATATCTCAAAAGCATTAACAATTTCAGTGATGTTGGACCCTCAGTGGTGATGGCAAGTCCTGGTGGTCTTCAAAGCGGGTTGTCGCGACAGCTTTTTGAGAAATAGTGTACCGACGAGAGAAACACTTGTATCATTCCAGGTTATGTTGTGGAAGGGACACTGGCGAAGACGATCATCAATGAACCGAAAGAAGTTACCCTGATGAGTGGGATGACTGTTCCCCTGAAGATAAAAGTACATTCGGTTTCCTTCTCAGCTCATGCGGATTCTGTTCAGACCAGTAAATTCCTGAAATCCCTGATGCCTCCTAACATAATATTGGTCCATGGTGAAGCTAATGAGATGGAAAGGCTAAAGCAGAAGCTCGCAACCTCGGTGTTTGCTGCTGGAAACACAAAGATTATAACCCCTAAGAATTGCCAGTCGGTGGAAATTTTCTTCACATCCGAGAAAATGGTGAAGGTTTTTGGAAAAAAGCTGGCTGGGAAAAGGCCTGAAGTTAGTGATACTGTCAGTGGTTTACTAGTAAAGAAAGGTTTTACCAACCAGATTATGGCTCCTGTCGATGATGATGTGCACGTCAAATCTCAGCTTTCCACGGCTACTGTAACCCAAAGGATTACGATTCCCTATTCAGGCGGTTTCGCTTTAATAAAACACAGACTGAAGCAGATTTACCAGCGTGTTGAGGCCTCAACCGATGAGGAGTTAGGGGTTCCAACTTTGAGAGTTCATGATCAGGTGACTGTAAAACAGGAGCGCTCGAAAAATGGTCACATCTCGCTCCATTGGGTTGCGGATCCTGTTAGTGATATGGTTGCAGACTCGATTGTGGCTCTTGTTTTGAATGCAAACAGGGAGACACCCAAGGTGGGGTTCGAATCAGGACCACCGGTGACAGCGGTAGATGATGCTGGTCCTGGAAAAGCCAAAAAACTCGTGCACTCGCTTCTTGTATCCCTATTTGGCGATGTGAAATCAGGGGAGAATGGGAAGCTGATTATAACTGTGGATGACAGCGTAGCCCTTCTTGATCAACAAAGTGGGGAGGTTGAATGTAAGAGTGAGGCTTTCAAGGGACGTGTGAAGACTGCTTTCCAGCGGATACAAAGTGCTGTAAAGCCAATCCCTCCTCTTTCAGTTTAGGCTATTTTCGCTTTCTGTATGAGGACAACTATTTTGAGACGGTTGAAGTTCTCGTTCATATAATGGTAGAACTTATTTTTGTCTTTGCGTTGATTCAAATCTGTTATGGATTTAGGGGATATTATTTAGTCTCTCAATTCTAACAATCATGGACACTATATGCCATGCAAGGCAATTCTTGATACTTTGCTTCATGTTATAATCCTCAATTTTGCTTTTTTTCTCAGGTCGCCAATTCGCTGGGACTTTGAAAGCACACAAAACTTTAATGATAATACTACTAATAATGACGATAAAATCGCGGCATATGCTTGAAGAACTTGCTCTATCCTAAACTCTAGGCAAAGTACCAGACGTTAGTATTGGATCATGGAATTGACATCTTAAAAAATAGTACGTTATTCATGGTTTGACCGAAACAAAAAGTTGAGCTCATAATTAAGGATGATTAATGTTTGTTCGGAATGCCTTCCGATAAATTTCAGATCAACGTCGATTGTTCATGCTGGAAACACTGAATCAGTTGAATCCAAGCTGTATTGTCCAGATAGAGGCTGAATATCAGAATAAGGACTTAATGGAACTGTGTAAAGATCTAATGGTTCAGTCTCATTGACCATTAATCTAGTTGATTCATACTGACCATTTTGTTGGTTAGTATTTGCCCAAGGATGCCGAAGATTGAACTTTTTTAGTCCTTCAAGTTCCATGGCAACCTCCTTCATGGTTGGCCTATCTGCACCATTCAAACTAACACAACTCTTCACCAGTTCGGCAATTTGTTGGAGTTGCTCTAGGGTCCCTTCACGAACTACCCGAGGATCAAGAACTTGAAACAATCGATTCTCTTTCATAGACATGATCAAAAATGTTGCGAGGTTTCGTTCTTCTTCGCTTCTCTCCATACAAAGTGGCTTTTTCCCAGTGACAATTTCAGCAAGCACAAGTCCAAAGCTGTAGACGTCACTTTTTTCTGTCAGTTGACTTGTGCGGAAGTATTCAGGATCCAAGTATCCTAATGTTCCTTGTACTAATGTTGTAACTTGAGTTTGATCCAATGGGATTAATCTGGAAGCTCCAAAATCTGATATTTTTGCCGTGTAATATTCATCCAACAAGATGTTTGCTGACTTGACATCCCTATGAATAATCGGTTTTGAAGCTGCAGAATGGAGATAAGAAAGTGCACTTGCTGTTTCGGCTGCAATCCTTAACCGATTGTCCCAAGACATCCATGACATTCTACTATGTTGGATATGGTGAAAAAGGGTACCATTGGAGACATATTCATAAACTAATAACGGCACTTCAGCCTCCAAACAACAACCTAAAAGTTTCACAACGTTTCTATGGTTAACTTGTGTCAAAATCACCACCTCATTGATAAATTGTTCAATTTGGCTTTCATCCATAAGTCGGGATTTCTTTATGGCCACAATTCGTTTATCTGATAAAATGCCCTTGTATACTGTACCATATCCTCCTCTGCCGAGAATCCTCTCATCCGCATAGTTATTGGTGGCTTTCTGTAATTCTTCAGCAGTGAAAATCTTGGTCGATTCTACTCCGCCTTCATTGGAGGACAATTGCTGGCGTAACAACATACCACCATTTTTTTGAAAAAACTTTTCCCTAAGCCTCAAAATTTTCCTTCTCTTAACACCTAGATACAGCCAAGTTACTGCCATCAATAAGGACAAAAGCCCGAAACCCAAACCTACAAAAGAAGAAAAAATGATGACACCTCCATTAGTTGCGATGGTTGAAAATTTGATGTTCCTTACCTATGACTTTTTTTATACTACTATAATGCAACTCGATCACTCTCCACTAACTAAAAGAAATCTTCTAAGAGAAAAGGATTTAAATAAAAAATAAAATAAAATAAGAACAGGAAGAAGATGAAGAAATCTAACCAAGTGAAAGCTTGATGACTGGAAACTCTTTGTTCTTAGCTATGCAACCGCGACCATCTTTTCTGCCGTCCCCAAAATGTCCTTCCGGGCAAGAACAATTGTAACCTCCCAGAGTGTTAATACAGATCTTCTCACATGTATTAGTATTAGGATCTTCACATTCATTGATATCTACCCGACCACCAGAACAGAAAAATACAAGGTTCAGAATTAATCTCTAACTAAACAGCTTATTCCAGATTTCAGAAGCTTAAGAAAGAAAGTCGATGAATCTTAGTAAGTTAACAACTAAGGAATTAGCAAATTAATTAAAACTAAACTAACCTTGGCAGCCTGGAGCGAGGTAAGGATTCCCCTCATAACCTGGTGCGCAGCTACAACGATAACCTCCGAATCCCGTATCTGAATCAACACATAAACTGCTGGAATGACATGCATAATCATTCGTTTTCCGGGCTGCCGAGCAACTCAAATTTCCAATCACCCAGTCCAGCACAATTGGTACACTTCCTATTGTTCTTCTGACAAAAGTTGGATCAGAAAAATCAGATGCACCCCGGAAAATGAACTTGTCTCGCTCACCAAGAAAAGCATAGCTACAAGGATTAAACCCGAACACCGTGGTATGCTTATTCAAGCTACCAAGATAAGCATAAAAGAAATTAAATCCTGGAGGAATATTGGAGGTTTGGCAGCAACCAATACCAGAACAGAATCCACTCAGGACGTCTTCCACTTTGTTACAGAGTGACACACACCCACTGGAGAAGTTCCGGTTGCCGGAACTTGAAATTACGGCAAAATCATCGCAGCCGATGATCGTGAAAGTGTTGAGAGTTGAAAAACTGTATGTACTCGTGATGAGATTCATCCAGGCGTCGACTTTACGGACTAAATGTCCGGTTTCATTGTAACAGGTTGTAGCCAACATGTTGGCCACACGAATCTGACCGTCCCCGATTTCGAGAACCTCGATCCCGCCTATGTAAGCCGCTGACGGGCTGAAAGAAGTGTTGCAGTTCACTTCAAACAGTTCTCCGATTGCACAACCCGAATTCAGGCCGATTCCGAAAGGGTACGGAACCGTCAGGTTTCCACACCGGCTTTGACATCCTGGTTTGGTTATGTTGGGGCCCTTAAGAATATTGTTTGTTTGGGCAGCTGATATTGTGAACCATATGAAACATACACAACATTTCCAAGCAACATGATGAAGAAGAGGAACATTTTTCTGAATTGCCATAGATGATTTAGTTGATGGCCCTGAAGTGTAAATTTAGAAATGCAAACTAAAAGGAAACGGTAAAAAGTATCAATTCATAAACTCTGAGTTGTATTCTAGATCACAGTGAATATTGAGAGTAAGAAATATCAACAACTCAACCCTCCATCTCGATCTAGTGTATTGAATGGTTAAATTTCGATTAAAAACAATATAAAAATGAAACAAATACAAAGAAACTAGTTGATGAGATGCAAGTTGTGTTTGACTGTGGAATGTGTCAATAATCAATGATACCTAATGTCTTTATCCGGTGACTTGCATTTTGAAATGCTAGTGGATTCATTTGCAGTTAATTAAATAATTATAATAAGTAAATAAAAGAATTGATGACGGTTAAGTACGGGAAAATATTGATACCCATTTGAATCATGCAGCGGAGGGAGGGGCCAGTAGAGGGGTCGCCCGATCTCAAAACTTATCAGGGAAGAACATTTCAGTAGAATTTTATGAAAAAAAAAAAAATTAAGTTCACGTCGGCAAATTTTTATTTTCTCTTACACTAATAATTACAATTTTTTCGCCCCTGTTTTGTGAATTGCTACCCCCGGGATCATGTGTACGAGATATGTTATATATTGCAGAAAAGGAAAAAGGCTACAAGAAGAACAGAAACGATCAAATATTATCTAAAAACATCTCCTCACTGAATCGTATGTACATTAGAGAAAATTAAAATTACTTTATATTCACCGTGACTTTCAAAACCTCGACCTAATAAAAAAGTAGTCTGTCCTTATTTCTTATCTCTCAACCTAAACTCTTTTGCTAGAATTTCTACCTAAATTGCTTCGCACATCATTCAAAAAGGAACTTTGAGATCTCTCTCTCTCTCTTTCTTTTATTATTTTTTTTTTTAAAAAAAATTAGAATATTATCCATGATTGACAGTAGTAACTAGCTAGTGTCCTAGTTAAATTGTACGCAATTTGATGAGAGAGATAGCTGGCCAAAATTTTGACAATTCTATGTATTGATAATCATGTTTAACATATGGATTTAAGGAAAAATGAAAAACATTAAGCCGAGTCGATGCAAGTGCATTATGCATATTTGGTCCTAATAAAGTTTAAACTCTGACATAAACATGAAACACATTACATAAAAATATTACTTGTAAGAGTTTTAATTATTTTCCGGAAGTGATTCTCCTTGTTCGAATCCAAAGTAGCCGAGACAATAACTTAACATTGAGTGTAATTTGGGAAAAAAGGTGATATTTAGCTGAAACATGTACGGACAAGTAGAGCGTCAGCATACATGTATGGCAATTTATGAATTGAAACGCTATCATATATCTTTGAATCAGTTTTCCATGACACATAATATCCCGCGTAAATGTTACCAAAAGTAAGCACAAAAGTCAAAATACAACTCGTCACTATTCTAAGCGTATACATATCATATGGAGTGGTTATTGGTTTACCATAACTATCTTTTAAAATTTGATATTATGTTTTTCTTTTTTATGTAAATTAGTCCACATCCATCAAACAAGAAAGTATTGCTGCTAACGTAGATGATTGTGTCCGTACGTTGAAATACACGGATAAGTACGAAGATTTGAAAAAAAGGACATGAAATTGACCCCTTCAAAGTTCAAATGAAGAGAGAGATTAGTGTTATTAAAAATTTGTTATATTTCCAAATAGTTAAACTAATTTCTTTTTTTCGAAAAAAAAAAAAGTGGTAAGTTGGATAAGTTGGTTGTCATTAATTTTTGGGGTATAAAACAAAACCTTTGAGCTAGAGTTCGCTTGGACGACATTGATCATATATGGATGGGCTATGATGAACAAAACTTACAAACTTGAAAGAAAAATCGTAGTATCGTTGCTGAATTGATTAAAAAACAATGAGAAAATTATGGTCATATCGAAAAAATGATACTGATCCAATTAGTAGAAAATCATCAAAATTTAGTGGGAATCAAGTGTTTCAAGAAACTGCTCAAACAACCATAAATTCCTTTATTTCATTTTTTTTTCTTTCCACCCATTTGTAGCTTGCCAGTCTCACAGAACCAGGGGCGGAACTATAGGGGGGTCAGGAGGGTCGACCAACCCCCCAGATTCCGAAAATCCCTTTAAGGGAGGTATTCCGGCGAGGTGCGGTATCTGTATTTTTCCACGGCCGACCCCTCCGGTGAAATGTTTTGATAAAGAAAAAAGACAATCAGACTAGGGCTTTCGTTCTTAATGAGCTTCTTTTGTTTTTTTTTTCCTTTGTTTTTTGTTTTAAAATAACCCATTTTGGCTTCACCCAACACATTCTTTGGGCTTTGTGTATTCAAAAATAATCTTATCCTGTCAAGGATATGTTCTGGAGGAGCACCACAAGACCCGTGTATTTAAATTGTATTCTATGAATGTAATCATATAGAAATCATACTTTCTAACTACGATGATAGTGTATTTATAAAATATAATCATAAATCATAAACATTGTTATGTTGTTTTAATTATGAATTAATAAAATCACAGTTGAAAATTATCGAAAATCAAATCTCAAACACTCTACCCTCTAACAAAAAATTATAATTGTGGCACCATATAAACTACTTAAAATATGATAATAAATTTAACATAATATTAGGATAGAGGGCTCTTTCAAAATAGATTCCAGAATAATTTGGGAGAAAAATTTTGTACATGTTTATAAATGTGATCCCCACAAAATTATTTAAAGCAAATCACAAATTTTGAAAAGGTAATCCACTTTATATTTGATTATTCTAATTTTTTATTTGTATATATATAAAAAATATTTAGCCATAATATAATATCGACCCTCCAGTATCAAACCTCTAGTTCCGTCAACTGCACAGAACATTGTTTTACTTTCTACAATTATATACATCATTTTGTTTCTATTGAATTCTGAATTTTATGATATTTTGTTTAACTGGATATATTCCCGTTCAGTACGTTTGACAAAATATTTATTTTCTGAGAAATATAAAAGGCATATTACTGGCCAAAAGAGGAAAAACAAAAATGACATTCGTTTATCCTTAGTCTTGGGCTAGTTTTTCGAAAAGACTCTTGGGCTAGTTGGTAACATAGTTTCCTAACCTTTACTCTTTGTGATTAAACTAGCCAAGTAAAATGACGGGAAGTGATGCAAAACCATAAGGCTACCCACTTTAGAGTTTTTGAGGATTCCCCCCACAGAGAACCATCTTGAAAAGCGTCGAAAGTGGGACCAAACTCTGAGAAAAAAGAAGAAAAGAGGGGAATCGCAATCGAATCGAAATCTCCAGTCTGAACAAGCAAAGTCAATGAAATCAACTTGATTTGTGACAGAATATTATTTCTTCCGTCTCAGAAAAAAACTATTTAATTTTATAGAACGAGAGTATTATATTACTAGTAAATTCGAAGTAGTACACTAGTCCGGAAAGTAAAAAGAATTCCGTTCTGGAAATCTCAATTTAGGAATCTCAATGCCCAGAAAAGCACAATTTGTAGTGAATGTTTATTGGATGATTAGCTCAAATGTGCCTATGCTGCACCATCCCAGATTCATCCAGCCGAAATTAAAGGAATCAGGAACAGGTGAATTACACAAAAGAACTTCAACTTGAAGACTTTAAAAAGCTCAATTCATCTTGAAGCTTTTTGGAGGTTGGGAAAAGTGAACAGGAATATCTAGGAATCGGTCTGAGACCGTCAATTGAGGGCAAAATCAATATGCTCTTTCTCGTATCAATTCCTCGTCAGTTAACTGTATATCACCAGCTTGGATAGGAAGCCCGAAGCCGTTGCATCTGATTCTTTTGTTCCCTGTCTTCCCCCATCTTAACAAACTGTAGCACCGAGTTAATGACTGGAATGCCGGTTACTAATCGTGCTTCATTTGTGAAACGATACTAGCACATACAAATATTAGTACAAAAATATGATACAATATTTTGTTATTTTAAAATTTGTGATTTTAGTACCATGTAATATAAAATTTGTTATTTTAGTGGGTAGTAGTGATTGAATAGAAAATATGAAACAAAAATAAGCTCACATTTTTTAGTAGGGAATGTGATTTGTGAGGGTTAGCCTTTTGTATCTCTTTCTCTCGGAAAAATTGGCCGATCTACTCAAAACTTTACATGCATTGTCAATTCTACCCGATTCTTTTTCGGTTAGCCAATATTACCCTAAACTATCAAACCGTTAGTCGATTTTGTCCAATTTGCTATTTTCCATTTAAATTAACGGAATTCTATTTGTTTTAATTACAAAAATACCCTACTAGTTTTAAAAATTTATAAAAATAACCCCAAAAATTTATAAAAATAACAAAATAGTCTCTTTTTAATTTTATTTAAATATTTTTGTTTTTTATTTCTTTTTACTATTTTTAATAACTATAAAAATATACTTTATGATCTTTTAAAAAAACTATTTATTTTTTAACTCTAATGTAAAAATTTATAATTACATATTTGTAAGTCATGTTTGATTAAGCATATTAATTTTTTTAATAATGTGGTTTAACAGTAATGATAATATTTTTTTAATCTATTTTTTTAATCTAAAGAATAACATTATTTAACTAATACTTTGCACAAAAAAATTAAACAATTACCATAGATTAAAAAAGAATCTATTGGTATACTTTAATGTATTACAATTTAATTCAACAGGCTTTAGATTGTATTATAAAATTTAAAAAGTAATCAAAACTAAAATATAAATTTTCTTTAAAAGGACAAGTACGAACAGAAAGTAAAAAAAAAAAACACCTATTTCCTTTCTACATTGGCCTAACACAAGAATATAGTGTCGTGGCATTTACAAAAATGGACAAAATATTTTATAAAAAATATGTATATTTATTACTGCGAGGGTTTAATATTTTGTAATCATGTTTTGAGATATTAATTTATCTAACTTTAGCAACATATTAGGGATTGTTTGGCCAATATTTTATTTTTGTTTTTGTTTTTGTTTTTGATTTGGTTTTAATATGTGATTTAAAATGTATTTTGAATTTGGCAGGAATCCAGCCGGCCGGCCGTCGGAGGTCCGGCGATGGCGATGGGTGGTCTGGCGGCGGAGGTGGTCCGGTGGTTGTAGACGAAAATTGTGTAAAAATAATTTTTAGAATATTTTTTAAAAGGTAAATTAAAAAGTTGTTTGGATAGTATTGGGATTTGTGTTTGAGAGGTGTTTTAAGAGGTAAAATGAGACAAAAATGCAAAAAGTGACTTGTCCAAACAAGAACATATTTTTTAATCTATGCTAAATGTTTTAATTTTTTTGTAAAAAATTAGTTTTAGTAAAAAAAAATCTTATTCTTTAAATTGAAAAAAAATGGATTAAAAAAATAATATCATTATTGTATAGCTATATTATTAAAAAAATTAATATGTTTATTTAAATCAACCATGAGTTACAAAATGTATATCTATAAATTTGTACAGTAGTATTTAAAAATAAATTATTTATTTAAACGATCATATAGTATATTTTTATGGTTATGAAAAATATTAAAAAGAAATAAAAAAAGAAAAAGATTAAATAAAAACTAAAAAGTTACTATTTTGTTATTTTTGTAAATTTTTAGGTTTATTTTTATAATTTTTTAAAAATATTAGGGTGTTTTTGCAATTAAAATAAATAGAATTCCGTTAATTTTGATGGAAATTAGCAAATTGGACAAAATCGGCTAATGATTTGATAATTTAGGGTACTATTGGCTAACCAAAAAAGAATCGGGTAGAATTAACAACGCATGTAAAGTCTTGGGTATATCGACCAATTTTTCCCCATCTCTCTCTCTCTTGCTTTAATATTTTGGAAGTGTAAGATTCTAATGGCTCTTGCTTTATTCTTTAATAGAGAAGGTTAAGAAGCAGCTGAATCTGATGCCTTACTTCCTGTCTTCCATTTTCAAATCGTAATTCATATGTTTGTAACTTGCATCATTCAACTCATTCAGCATAAAAACCAAGATCTAATTACCAAAATTATGCCACAAAATGTCTCCAAGCATCTCTTCATTCTCATTCCATCTTCTGTTTTTCTCATTTTAGTTTTCAAATTATCCTGTAAGAAATATTTGGAGTAAGGGCAGATTGGTTGAGGGGAAATGTCATCACAACAGCAACCTCGGCCATGGTTCCGATTAGCTTCGATGATGCGGGCAACAGTACCGCCACCTACCCCCGCACCTCCTCCCCGACCACCACCACCTCCCACCACTGTTTTGCAGCCTCCGCCTCCTCGTCCACCATTCAGGGCCCCTGTTATAGCTCCCCCTCAGCCCACCACCACCCAACCTCCACCGCCCCCACCACCAGCGGTAACTCCTCCTCCGCCTCCTAATCCACCACCACCTCAGCCTGCTGCTCCTGAAACACCTATACAGTTACCTTCACGGTTGAATTCGCCAGCTGCTCCGAGGTCCCCTATTATATCCTCCCCTGCTCCAAGATCCCCTGTTCCAAGGACCCCTGTTTTATCCTCCCCTGCATCAAGGTCTCCCGTCCGAGTTACATCACCGCCGGCCGCCTCTGAACCGCCTTCTCAGCGGGAACATAATAAGCCCCAGTCTCCCATCATCACGAATTCCACTCCTCCCCCGTTATCAAATTCAAATACGCGTCCGATTGTGTCACCCGCGCCATCTCCAAAACCGAGTGCCGCATTGGCCGCCACAGCTCCTCCTCCTCCATCACCGCAGTTACCTTCTTCTCCGGCCACCAAAACACTGATCCCTTCCAGATCAGCTCCACAAACACCACCACCACAACCACCTTCGCCAGCCGCCCGTAATGTCAGCACCGCCGTGGCAGCTAATTCTTCCGGGGCCTCTCCTTTTAGGTCCAAGCCAATAGTATCATCGCCGGAAGAAATTAAACAATGGGATCAGAAAAATCCACCTTATCATTCCCCACTGAGGTCTGGCCCTCCGTCTCCACTGATTTTACCGCCGCCGGCTCATCAAAAACCCGACGATGGCGTTAATTACTTGGAACCAATCCCAGCTGAAGCCCAACAAAAAACCGTCCTGACCCAGAACAGAATTCAAGAAAAACAGCCGATTATCAGTAATACTACATCGCATAACCATGGAAATTTCCACACCAGCAACAATCCAGGAGGAGGAGGAAGAGGAATGGAAGTGAAAAAAGAAACCAATAACATGCTTTCCAAGAAAAGCACCAGCAGCTCTAAAGATGATCAGTTTGGGACGAGAATCATAACCCTCGCTGGAGAGAACAGAGGAGCTATCATGGAGCTCAGCCGCCATGGCAATTCTCGCAAGAAAGGGACAGGAACCAACAAAAATGATGAATATTCTGGCAAAAATGAGTTCAGGAAAATGCAGTCACATCCACTACCTGAGGCCCCTGTTAATGCATACGTGAACAGCAATGTGCAAGAAATAAATAATTCAATTCTCTACAATTGTGCATACACTAATCGCAGCCCGGGCGTCCACCTGACTGTCTCCAGGAATGCCAAGCCTTCTAAAAGACTCGACGATTAACGATTGAGTGGGATACAATGTTGGAGAATTCTGGTTGATTGCTGTTTCCGTTTCGGATTTTCTCAGTCTTTCAGTACTATATGTGTTAAATAAATTTCCTCATTTTGTTGATCAGCAAAAATAATGTAAGTGTAATGCGGCAATTGTTTCGTTACTGTGATTATGTGTATCTCCGAGGTTAATGTGACATTACTATTTGATGGATTATTGACTCTTCTTACCTTTCTAAAGTTGTGCACATTTTGTATCAGAAAGAGACAGCAACATTTAAAGTTCAATTCAAAACTATTTTTAGCATTGATTCTCTCTCAATATCTTGCTGCGAAACCTTTCAAAGAAGAGAGGCATAGCATCATTACAAATGTGTTGAATTTGCAAAATATGGAATATCAACGCTTTACGCTTTTCTGCCGCACTCAAAGAGTCCAAAACAGGCATTTGTTAAGGATAATTTACATTTTCACATTGGTTTGCCAGTTGGATTTGGGGTTACCCGTCTCGGGTTGGTTCCTGACTAAACAAAATACACTAGCTAGCTATTAAGGTACTAGATTATATCAAAATAATTTTGTGACATTAGTTTATGTTATTGAAAAGGAAATATGCTTTAGAGTTTAGACATTCAGCACTCAAAACCTAACCAATTATATTATGTTTTAGTACTAATCTTTTACCCTTTTTTCCGGTAACATTGTACTGGAATCCTAATAATACAGCAAAGATTTTAGTACAAATATAGCAAAGATTTTGAAAGCTAAAACTACAAGGACATTTTGCCTTCTCTACGATCTATCTTTTGGCTCATCAGCTGCAAAGATATATTTTAACTAGGCATCATGAAATCCCTTAATCTTTCCAACCCCAATTCGTTATCAATCATTGGATCTTCATTTGGTATTGAATTCCCTTGGTTGGAACTTGCTAACATTTTTGCAAGCTCCCATCCGAATTTCGAACAAACTCCCCTATTGTTATCACACATTTCTTCTTGATTGGTATTTGCAAGAACTTGGGAGTGCGTCCGACTCTTCTTCGTCATCATCTTTGGCACTTTCGGAATTTGTCTATCAATCTCCGGCAATGTCCCTAAATCTTTATTGTCTCTGTTCAGCTCACGGAGTCGCTTCAATGTGACCCTAGAGGTTGATGGTTTCATTATATCAAAATCAATGCTCCCCATTTTCGATGCTTGGAGCTTCTCTTGATTCGGTTCTTCTTGGCAATCGATTAGGGTTTGTTGATAATTTGGTAGGAATGCAGTGAGTGGATACATTTGATTTTGAGAGGAACTGCATGATTCAGAAAATCCTTGTGTTACCAAAAGCTGATGATGATCATACCAACCAGGGAGGAACGGATCTTGTTGGGTAGATAACAGATCATGAGGATCATTATACTGCTCCAGCGCATTCATCAACCAACTGAATTTCTCATCAAATGTGTCATCCTGTTGTTGTGTATTATGGTCGAAAATTTGGTCGAGTTGTGGTGGAACGATGGAATCCGCAAAACTGAATTCTATCGGATCTTCATATTGTAATGCTGCATGAATATCATTATTGACTGCATTTTGATGATCCGGCGGTGTTTCGAAAGAGATCAATGAAGGGACATCATCAACAGCTTCCTGCTTTAGGTCTTCTTTGGATTTGTTTTTCTTGGCTTTTGCTTTATCCTTCTTGGGTTTCTTGTAGATGCGACACAAAGCATAATGCTTGAACTTCATTATGAAACACAACAACTTATTAGTAAATACAAATCCAAAAAAAAAAAAAAAGAAGCAAAATTTACTTGTGAAAAGAAAACTGTTATTACTTATCAAAAAACTGCTATTAAAAATAATAGTAATAAAAGATTTGATATACACCATGCAGAACAAAAAAGTGAAATTCTTACCAAAATTGAGCAACATTGGACATTTCTCAAGAGAAATCAAAGAAATAAATCCTAAGAGCTACTGATTCTGGTCTTATTTATATGACACAAACATCTATAAAGCTAGTTTCAATCTGCGGATCTTAAATGGTGCATTAGTACATGCGATCATGGTTTTAAAAAATTTCATACAACAATAATTGGAAGCATTATCGTTTGTTAGGGCTTTGAGCTAACTTGATAGGTATTTAAAAAAAAAAGTTTTACTCCAAGAATGTCAAGAAAGAACCACAGACAAACAGTGATGCACGCAAAAAAAAATTAAAAAAGGAGAAGAAACGCAGCAAGAAAAATATGTAATTTCTTCAAGAAAAAGACAAAGAAGAGAAGATTGAGTTAAGGAGTCACGTACTTCATCACTTGCATTCTCGAGATCAGATTTAGGCAAGGTAAACTCTTTCATAATGTATCCAGTCCTCTCCTCCATCCGGTTTACCAAACATAAAGTCTTAACCCATCCCACTTTTACTTTTTCGCCTAACCCATCCTCTTTCTCAACTGGTGTGCCCCTGTTGTTGGCTTTCCATGTATATTCCCCAGCCGATCTTCCATAGTTTTTCCCTTTTTCTGCCACTTTCTTCCGGTTCGTGAAAACGTACACCACGTTTTCGTCGTCGCCATGGCGATCGATTAACGTTTTTGGATGATAGTCGGAGTCATAGACATCAACGTTATCCCGTATGACATGATCACAAGGCAAGGGTTTACTAAAAACTTTGCACTCTAAGTATTTTATAAGCTCCCAATCCTTGGGGGAAAATCGGAACCCTTTCGGGAGTTTCACCGGCGTTCTGGGATTATGTCTCGGCTCCATTTCGTAGGTTTGTTGCAACAAAATAAAACCAAGAACGAACAGAACAAAAACAGAACAAAGCAATTTAGGGTTACTAAGAAGTTTTGTGTTTCAGCTGGAAAAGTTTTTATTGACTGATGGCTTAATATAATTAATAGAGAAAGAAATCGGGTGGAATTAATTTTAATCCGTGTTGTAATCGGGTGACAAATGAATGATCCATTTCCAGCTACCTGAAGGATATCAATTTTATTTTCCAATATACAAAATTTTTAATTCGGTATGCTTAAAAATATTTTTTTTTCCCCGGTAGTTATTTCGAAAGGTTTTACTGCTCCTTCCGCGGTAACTGAAACATCCAGAATTCCAGATCCAAAATTACGAAATTGAGGTCGAAATTCATTCAGGAAGAAGAAAAATACATAAATTTGTGCTTTAGTATCAGAAGCAGTCAAACAGATTGAAGTCAGAACATTTTTCGTTTTTTTGGAAAAGTCTTGAGGGTTGACCATAACCGAAATTATCAAGATTTCCTACCTGAAACGGACTTCAAATGCAGCATGTTCTCGTTTTTCTTCACGTCGAACTTTATCTACGTGGACGACAAAGTAGACAAAACAAATTTTCAAATTTTTATAATTTGTTGTTTTAATTAGGTTTTCAATTTTATAGAAGTTTTCTAATATATATATTTTTCGTTCAAATCGGACTTAATTAATTGTTTTACGTTAGTTTATTATTTTTAAAATAATTTTGACATGTGTAATTATTTGCTTTTTTAGAAAAATTCTAGAAATTTTTGTACAAAATTATTTTTGGGGTGCTTAAGCCTTTCCTGTAAGCACTATACGGGAGTGGTTGTGGATTTTATATATGTAACAACAATTGAGTTTTATGAATTTGTCCTTTGCAAACTTGTGAGTGGATCTCGTTTTTTTTTTTTTTAAAAAAAAAGTTTATAATATTTTATAGTACAAAAATATCAGGGTTTTCATTTCCTCGCGTACTAATCTTCTTGAGTTTCCTTGTGCGTTTCTCTAGTTAGATGATTTTAATTGTCATTCACAAAAGAATAACCAATTCGTTCAACGCTTAAACTTTTATGGTAGAAAATATTACAACGCGTCCATTAGCCGGAGGTTACAAATCAATAAGGTTAATTTATTCCTTTTGGTTTCTTTGGTTAGGATTACAGTTTTCTGAAATACTTTTGTCTGGCAGTTGTTGTTAGACTAATTAAATGATTGACACAAATTATTATTATTAATTTCAACACCATAACCAAATAGTAAGTGATTTGTTTATATAAGTGATTAGACACAGTGTCAATTATCGTTTTTTTAAATAATATCACAAAAAGTATACCTGAAATGTGTCTTGAGATTTTTTTTTTTCTTTGAGTCAGTATTGTAAAGACTTGACATCCTGGGTTTTTTCACATCAACAAACTTTTGCAATATTGAGTCTCTTTTAATAAAGTCATATCAATGTGTTTATCCAAGTATGTTTCATCTTCAATACTTACTTTCTTTTATGTGCAGGAAGCGAACCCAACACGATGATGCAATTTCTTTTTGAGAAGAAACTAAAACGTATCGATGTGAAACAGGATGGCCGAATTACGATCCCAAAGGTTAGTAAGATTATAGTTCATTTTTAGTACAAGATTTGGAAGAATCACAACAATCTGTCACATTCTCAATTGGAGGTTGTCACGCAGTTATTTTTATTATTACTATTTTATATTTATTTATTTATTTATTTTTTTATTTTTTGGGATGATACAACTACAATTGACGTTTTCTAATAAAACTGTTGTTTGTGCACAGATCTCTGCTGAGAAATACATGCCAAAGCTGGAGTCAAATTTGGGTCATCAAATAGTTATGCAAGACATGGTTGCGAACAGAGTTTGGACGTTCAGATTCAGGTTCTTTAATTTAAACAAAAATTATTACTCTATCTATTCTAGAAAAAATAGTATAGATTGAGTTAAGATTTGTATTAATTTTAGTACAAATTTAAAAAATTAATGTTTACTTTTCTTCTAGGAAGGATGGAGGGAGAACAATTTTTTTGCCATCATGCTTGTGGAATATAACTTAATCAAAGTAGTACATGCATTAGTGTTTCACTTTTGTTATTATATGATTAATTATTGATCAGACACCTCTAAAACTAACAGATCTTGGCAAAACAGTACAAACAGAGTAATCTATGCTCTTGAGGGCACAGGTCAGTTGGATCTTCTTGCTGTTACGTTTTTCTTTCATTTCAAAATAATTATAATATTTATTACAATCACTATCTCAAAAAATAATACACTTTATATTTATATATATGTATATATATGTATATATATACTAATTAAAATTATTACAAAAATTTCAAACTTTTAATAATGTTTACTATTTTTTTTATGAGACAGAGGGAGCATAATATTTTAGTATTTTCATTCATATACAATTTTATAAACACACAATTATTATATTGAAACATTTCAGGTGAACTGATAAAAACTCATGGATTGCGACCTGGAGATTTTATCATGATTTACAAAAATAAGGAAAGCAACACATATGTAAGCATTTCTTTTTCTAAAATACGAATGTCACAAGTGATGTCTATCAATTATCAAATTAAAATATAGTTCCAATAAAATCCACTGTAAATTTTGCTTACATCAAATTATTTCGCAGGGTATTGGAGTTAGAAAGTCCGATGATAAACGTATTGAAGAGAATACGTCAACTCCAGAAATAAAAGAGAATAGTAACGACCAGGGAAGTGGATATTTTCACATGGATGCTGGTGCTTCAAATTTACCATCGTCCTTTGATGATCAATATCTTCGTGGCACTAATGAATCATCATTAGCATTATCATCAAGTGGTTGCTCTGAGTCTGAGTATAGCCATGAGTTACAAGGTTTCCCATTTCATCTCCTCACCAGTGTGGAAATCTCCGACTTGCCGGAATATTAATGGTTACTCTTTTTGTTTTATCTATGTTTACATGATTTCTGATGACTAAGAACGGATACGATATGATGATTGTGATTTCCTGTATTGACAGAAAAACTTTCAACTTCATTTTTAGTGTGGTATGAACTAAATAAAGTGTATGATATGTCATCATGTGAAACCCAGAAGGCTTTATAGCTCTAGTTTTGGATGAGCTTCTCCCAATTATGTCTGAAAACAAAATAGGGCGGCTTGCTCTGACCAAGACAGAACTTTTTGCTCCGTTCGCGGAGCGTATGAATTTCCTTGAGTGAGGATTGATTCAATACATTAGGGTATAAGATCGTACAGTTCCCTATCGATACAAACTCTCAATGGATCCTTCGCGTGCTGGTGAAATCTGTATTAATTTGGTACTGCAAAATGTCATGTTCTGATCACTTTTATACAAACAGTGGAAGAAACGATGGAATTTAACAAACTGGACTCTCAGTTTTGATGGATCTTAGTTCCAAGGTCATGATTTTTCTTTATTTCATGTTTCTGAATCTTATTAAAAACTAGCTAGCCTGCTAGTGTGTAACCCCTTTCAACAAGCACTTCCTTGTAATTTCTGTTTTTCATCAAATAAATTAGTTAAGGTATGCCCGTCATAGTCTGAGTTAATCTAACTCATTTTTATCCTTTTTTTTTTTTAATGCTACAATGAGTTGTCCATTTCATTTTAATCAACTCTTCTAACTATTAGACATAACTTAAACAATTTTGCCGAAACTCAAGACAATTGGCCTTTGCTCGGAGACCGTCTAACAGGCAAATTATATTGATATGATGTCCAAGTCTTCATAAAAACAATAAAATAGAATGTCGAATTCAATATTTCTGCTATTAATTTGTCGAGCTCACGAAATCGATCAGTCTACAAATTAAAAACCGTCTCATAAAGATGAAGCTGAAAATTGCACGGCTATTGCGAATAAACAATCCAAAAAAATGGAAGTCATTGTGCGGACGCAGTATGGGACTTCGTCAAGCAACCTTTATTTTTTCTTTTTTTTTTTTGAAAATGGTCAAGCAACCATTGACTTTCTCCAAATCAAAGTCATTTTCTACGAGATTTTATTACAATAGTTGTAAGTTACATTTCTTTCCGACTAGAATATTTTTTCTGAAAAAAAAAACAATACGTATTACACCTGGAACTGAAATAAGGGTTTTATTCCACCAAATGAGATAGCTTTTTTATTAGGGAAAATTTAGCTAAGAGACAGTAGAGTTAGTCAAATTGATAAAAGGGGATATGACTATAAAATAATTTTTATTAAGGACAGTAAATTAGTTGCCTTAAATTATAAAATTAAAACAATTCTATTAATTATGACATAATTACTCTTTGCTTATTAGTTCTTTCAATGGAAGAAAAACAAATTTAAATCCTCCTCCCTTCTCCCTCAAGATTCTAACATTACATCATTTGAAGAAAAGCTCGGATTATTTATCAATACTATTAAACAAACCTAATTACAAATCATATTTGATAAAATAAGAATCCAACCTTCTCATCCACACTCTTCAACAGAAAACTGAAACCAAAGTTTGACATCTCATCAAAGTTGTTGCTACTGGGTTTATAAGATTCTGCAAATATAAGATGCAAATGTTCTTGGGCTAAAATTAGTCCTTGTGATTCTTATTCAGTTTTATGAATCATTTAATTGCTTATTATTTATTAAACCTACTCTAGTCATGAGATTAGATTGTGTTCAAATCATGTTGAGGTAATCTTTTATTACTACATAAAAATCTCTCTTTTTCTTTGTAATAATAGTGCTATTGGGCGTTGGAATGATTCACATACAAGAAGCCTACCCCATAAACCTTTAGTTTTGTTCTTGTCACTTGTGAAATCTTTATTAAATAGAGCAGAAGAGGAAGTTTTGTCCTTAATTAGGTTTCGCTAATACTTTTGTTCATTAATCGAGTTGAGGTCGTATTGAAATGATTGAATGTGGAAAAGAAGATAAGGAGCTTAGCTTTTTTTTTTTTTCTATTGGGAAA